ATAATACTATTCCTATGGCATCTGTTTGGGATGTCAGACTCTCTTTTGATTGAATCTGGTCTGACCCTCCACCACCTCTTTTTTTTTTTTATCACTTAGAACGTTGTATTGGTTTCGTCCATTAGAAATTTAACCATAAATAAATTTAGCGGTGTTACTTAGTTTTCGATTTTTAGCCGCAAAAAAAATTTATGCAAACTTTCATGATGGGCACGTTAAAAGAATCAACAATGTGGAATTACAAATTAATTTATTTAGTCACGAGATACATACAAGAAATGAAAAGGCGAGTGATGATGGGAGCGTCACAAACCTTGAGGATTTGTTCAGAGCTACGGCATTTGCGTGTCAAGTCTGGATATGAAGGGTTCGTTGGAAAAAATGCATCATCGCACATCATCAACCTGCTGTCCAGAGCGTACTACTTGACACGAATTTCAATCAAATTTGGTATTTCTAGATTTTTGACGTATGAAAACATGCATTCTGCATTTTTTTTTTAATTTTTTTTTTAATACAATTCTTCTGCTGTATTGATTTTGTTTTTTTTTCTTATTTCCGAATATTATAAACCAATAATTCAATTTTTATTTGTTTCAAATTAATATAAAATTAAAATCTGCAAGAATTTAAATCGTAAAAAAAATATCTAGTGAATTATAATACAAAAAATAAAATAAATAAAATATCACAATTATTCATTATCACCATGATGAAACACAAAAACTTCCATTTCTTCGATAGCAAAATTACTGGTATCTAAAATGTTACTCTCATAATAAGCTTGATTGCATGTGCCAGCATCGTCATTGATAACCAAATCACTATTACCAAAATTTATTGGCATATTTTGATAATACGATTCATACATCGCATAATTGTTGTTGACAACTCGACTAATCTTGAAATTATTCAAATCGTTTCCATCACCTAAAGAGAAGATAAAACAATCGGCAGTATTAACCCAATAATCTTCAAGTATCATATTAAGACTAAAACCTTTATCAAATCTACGTCCTTGACTTGATCTTTGTCTTCCACGTCTTCCACCACCAAAAAAATTATTTTGAACAACATTATAATTCCAGCCAATAGGATTATAACCACCAATTATTGTTTCATTTTCTTCAATTTTAATAACTAGAATGCATTCTTCATGTCCATTACCATGACTTCGTATAGCATTGGTATCAAAGCCATCTCTACTTCCACGATAAATAAGATTAAATTTAAATTTATTTTCTATTGGAATTCTTGCATTAGCATCTTTTCTTTGAATCCAATTAGCAAGGGTAACCGCATGTTTTGGTTTAATGATCATTGAATCAATAGGAATTTTTTGATAACGAGGAACCAATCTATTTTGCATAGGTTCAGTATTATTAGACTTATGAAACGACACGATATCTTCAAATAGGGATTGAGGTAACACTTTCTTAAAAGGCAGAATCTTACTATGAAAATCTTTTAAAGAAATTTCGAAGAATCGAATATGTGCGATAAATTGATTCAAGGTATTTCTTAAAGCCATAAAATCCTTTTCACTCCAACTACTTAAATTCGTCACATCCTTATCTCTTAATTCCAAAGTTTGAGCTATCCCCCATTTAATAAGACAATTCCATAATTCAATTTCATCAATTTTTAAATCTTCTCTTTCAACTATTCCAAGTAGGATGGATATTTTGTTCCAATGTTGGAAAATCTGGCGAATTAAAAAAAGGTTCAGGTTCATCACAAACAGATTCTAAACAATAATTATGGAGTTGTTTACAGCTCTCTAGTTGAAAAACCGTGCGAAAAACCTTAACAAAATTGAGTTGTAACCATCCAGTTTGATTTTTAATCAAATACTCTTGCAATGAGGTAACCAACTCATCAAGAAGTAATTCATCGGATGCAATAATAAGGTCAAGTATATCAGCTTGTTCATTCAAATCAAGTATACCAGAATACATATATCTAAAAAAAAAAAAAAAATTAGCTACAATTAAAAATTGGTTTTTCTTTCCTTAAACCTTTAAATAAACAAATTTCACAGTACGTATATATTAATTTCTATCATACCGCTTCAAATCTTTTTTAAAAGAATTCAGGAAGTGTTACCTAATAATCATATCAAAAATTCTAGGAGAAATATTTGGTTTATTAAAGTGGATCATATTATCTTTCTTTATAATCCAATTCCGTGAGAAAGCTCTTTTAAAATAAGGAGACCGAGACTTCAGAATAATGGAATGAGCGCAAAATTCTTTAATATAATTTTCTCCAACTTTGATGATAACATCATAATCATCTGTATCATTAAGCAATTGAGAAAAATTTTGAGACAGTCTAGGAAAAAATTCGAAGGCCATTTTAAGAATTTTTACATTAATAGAAAAGGATAGTGAGCACTTATATAGAAAATTTTGTTTCATAAAATACTGATCGACATAAAAGTTAGTATGTATGTTGTGTCCGACTTACTTTGTCTTATTGATATTATCGGTATCAAAACGTCTGTGTTTTTCTTACTTTTACCTTTTATTGAAGAAATATGGTTTTTTTTTTATAATATTTAAAATTTAATAAACAATTAGACAATCAAAATTCTCACAAGTTCTTTATTTATATGTCGATCATTACGTAGATATGTTTTAGGCAAAAAGGAAGATTTGAACAAGCTCTTTCTTTCCGAGTATAAATAGGAACTTTCTAAAAAGCGTTAAGATATAAGTTTATCGTGATAAATCTTTATTTATCTAATAAAGACAAATAGATCAATCTCATAAATTATTTTACCTCCAGCTCCACGAAGAAATATTGCTCGATAAATTTTCTGCAATTCTGACGATTCTTTCATTTCTAGCCTTTATGTAAGTTCGGATGATCCATTTTAATTATTTCCACATCGCAGCCTCGATCAATTGGCCTTTTAGGAAGAATTATAGCGTTATTGCTCTCTAGTTTTAGATAGATGTCTTCTCTTAAGGCCAATTAAAGAGCACTTAGTGAGCAATAATCTCTTTGCATTATTAATAAAATCTTGTATCTTAACTATCGTTTATTAATTTGATCGATCTATAATAGAACTACAATTATCTTGTCTTTTAACTCGATGTGAGTAAATAACACTATATTAATTAATTATTTTATTTTTTACTTAAATAGTTTTAGGTTAAATCAGATTAAATTCGAAGAATTTTGATTAAAGGTGAATATAGGTAACTAAAATTTATATTTTAATATATTGATTTTTTATTTTATTATTCTTACTATTATTTGATTAATTTTATATTTTAGGTTAGATTGGTTTCTTTAACTGGAATTATCAGATGAAATAGGATTTCATTATCATAGCATAGGTTATTGACAAATTTTTTGATTTTATTAGTATTTATTATTACTTTAAATATTAATAATCGTAATTAATATCCCTTAAACTGTAGGGTTATATAAAAAATTTGTTTGCTTATTTATTATAAATTCTTTTCTGATTTACTTTTATGAAAAATTAAAATTTTAAAAAATTTTTTTTTTAAACTTTCTTGAATAATTTTGGATGAACTTCTTCATATTTTAAAAAAAATCTTTTTACTCAGTATCAAAGAACATATTATGATATTTGATTAATTTTATAAATATATATAATATTATGGTAACTTTTATTTTTTAATTATATAATAAATAATTTAAAGTTACTTACTTATAAGATAAAAATTTGTAATTTTTAAAAAATTTTATTATTGGCTTTTAACAGGCTTATTAACATTTACTTTTAGTAATATTAATTATAATTGAATATTACTAAAATTTAACATAAAAAATAACTTTATTTTATACTTTTTATAATTTACTAAGAAATCTTTAGATTTAATTAATTCGCAAAGTATAAATGAATTTTAAGAAAGTTTTTAAAAAATAAGTAGAATAATTATTTTAAAACTTAATTTTAAATTGAATTATTTAAAAAAAATTTCTTAATAAATTTAAATTTTTTTAAAAAAAAGTTGATAAATATATATTATACTATATTTTTTTATATAATAATTATATTTTTAAAATTAAAATTTTATATTTTATTAAAAATACTTTTTTTTTATATTTGCATTTAATTTGCCTATTTTATAGTTTAATAAGATAATAACTAATTATTATTTTTTATTATTATTTTTTATATAATTATATAATAAAAATTACAAAAAAACATTTCTTTATTTATTTATATAATTCTTTATCCCAATTTTTTTATATTTATATATAAACTATTATTCATATTAATATTATATTGATATTGATATTGAATATTGATATATAAAATAACCCTATAGTTTTTGCATAAAACTAATTAAATTTATGTCTATTTCTTCTTTTTTTTGAGAATGAATTTAGCTAACATTATATAAAAGTAGAATTATCTATTATTTATATAGTGTTAACTAAATATTTAAATATTATATGACTAAATTTTTATTGCAATTATATATCTTTACTAGTAGTAATTCATATTTATAAATGTATATAAAATATTTATTTACTATTTATACCTTTATAACTTATATAATATTTTGTTAATAAGATTAATTTAATTTAAATAAAATATCAGTAATTCAAAATAAAAAAAAATGGTTAATATTCAAAATAATTTAGGAAATAAAAAGTAGTATTATAAAATATTTTGCATATTACTTAAACTCTTATAATTAATTAATTAATAAACTTTAATTTTAATAATGATTTATTTATAAAAATACAATTTAAAATATTAAGTAATAATATTTTAGTTAAATTATAAAAATTTAGATTTATTATAAATATAATAATTGCTATTCTATATTCTATTTTATTTACTAATTAAAAGACTTAATCTTTAAGTATTTCTAGATAAATAATATAATTTTAATATATAATAAATGACTCAATTACAAAGATTATTAATTTAATAACATTAAATTTTTTATCTTCAGGAATTTCTAAATTATTTTGATCTTTTAAATGAAGATTTGAATTATTATAATTTTTTATTATTTAATTAATTTTAAATGATTAAATCATAAGTATAGCAATAATTTAATTAAATTTATCTAATTATTACCATTATTTATTATATAATTTTTTTGTATATAATGTATTTCAATTTTATTATTAGTGTAATTAATTCCTAAAATAAATTATTTATATTTGTAAATTGGTAACTAAGTCTTATTTATTAAATGTAATTTTTAAATTTTCTAATTAAAATAATAAAATTTTAATTATAAATATAATCATTATTATTCAAAAATGAAATAATTTTAATTTTTATTGCCAATTTCATAATATAAAGAATTTCTTTTTGATTTGCCAATATTCATATCTATTTATATTAATTATATTATATTTAAATATAAACAGAATTATAAAACAAAATATTATAAGTATATATATATTCTTACTAATAATTGTTATAGAAATATTTATTTTAGTATAATCTTTAAATATTTTTTTATTTTTTTAAGGTAATTAAATTAATTTATAAATTTTTATTAATTATATATATATAAACTAATATTACTTACTATTTGAAATTATAAGCCTACTTTGTTTACAAATATTAGCTTTTTTTTTTATAAAAATAAAATATTAAATTAATATTAAATTAAACTTTAATTTTAAAATTTTAAATAATAATTCTCTTATTTTTCTATAAATTAAAATAAAAATTTAATTTTATTTAATCATAAATAATTTACCTTTATTAGTATTTTTTAGTTCAGATAAATCTTTAAAAGTATAATATTTACTTATTTTCTAATTAATATATTAATAGAAGTAGAACTAATAATAGATTTTTCATTTGATTATATACTATTTAAAGTAATATCTATTTTTTTATTTTGATTTTGATGATAAAATCTTGTATTTTTTTAATTTTATTATAAAGAATACTAATATTTAGTCTTTTTAATAAATTAGTATCCCAATATTGTATCATTAAACATTTTTATTATATTGGTTTCTAATACTATTTTTAGTCATATATCATTTACTATTTTCATTTCAAGATCATAATCATGATTAAAGTTGGTAAAAGGTGGTTGTTCAGATGAAACTTCTTATATAATCATACCAATACTATAAATATTTGATACAAAAGTATATTTTTTTCCAAATATAACTTTAGATGCTTATATAAGAAAGATTATTATATATACTTATTAATAGTTTATTAATAAGACTATAAAATTTAAAATTACTAATAAGCCACATATTAGATTAGTATATTAACTAAATAATATATTTCCTAAATGTAAATCTCTATAAATAAAATTTTCTATATAAAGGTAAAAAATTGCTTTCAATTATGAAAAAAATAATATAAAATTTTTGTTTTTATTTAAATTGATAATGATATTATTGTAGATATATTCTTAAATCCATTTTAAATGAATCATTACAAGAAAATAATCGTTATTTTGAAGATTTTGAGTAAGACTATAACAATTAATAAAATTATTCCATTTACTGTTTAATATTAATTGTGTTTAAGCCTGCAAATAAGAATTCAATTAATTAGTTACCATTTTTTTTTAAAAAAAAACAAATTTCAAATTTTTTAAATACTATCACCTCATTAATCAACTTCTATTCATACTTTTCACATTTTCAAGTTTTTTGAGTATTATCTTGACTAACAAATCTTGTTAATTGTTGTTTATTAAAATCCCATTTATCATAGACTCCATCAATCAAAACTGCTGTATAAATTTCAGAGCATCCACCTTTAGTTAGATACTCAATATTTTGTAAATTATTCCACTCTACTATTTTCTGAGGGAAAAATGTTTTCATTTGATATTTCTTTATTAAATTATCAATTTCATTATTTCCAGATGTCCAATTTGAAAAATTTGCTTTTAAATAACTTCG